TCGGGCCGCGTATGCGATTCGTCCCACCGCCGCAGGTTGAACGGTCCATATTTGGCGGCCTAGCGTCTTACGGCGAGCCTTTTTTTCCGGAACATTTGGAAAGGGAATAGAAGGCAGAAGTTTTCGGCGTTCCCGAATTGGAGGAACAAGGTGCTCCAGTGGCTGCGGTTCAGGAGGATGGTGATGGTGATGGTGGTGGTGATGGTGATGGTATGGTTATGGTGATGGTGATGAGGATGGTGATGACAATGATTCGGCGGCGAGCGAGGGGGGGAAGTGAAAAGGAGAAGGCCTTCTCAGAAGGCTCGGAAGTCCCCCGGCCTTCAGAGAAGTGTTCTAAGCCTGTCCCGAAAACGAGCAACAGCTTCTAAGAAAGCGCGAGGGCTTCTGAGAAGTCCCGCCGCCTTCTGAGAAGGCCTTCTTCTTCTCACTTCCCCCCTCGCTCGCCGCCAAATGATTATGATGATGAGGAGTATTTGACGTGGATGAGGATGAGGAGAAGGGGAGAGAGTTCGAGGATCCTTAGGACGTGTGCTGGCTCAACATGTGTTCGCTCCGTTGCATTCCACCAACTGCGCGCAGCTCCACTTCACTCGACCTCACGTCGACCAGCACCCGGGACCTAGACCAATGACGTAAAATCTCAGCGAACGTCAAGACGTCTCGCCAAATCCGCGCCGACACCGACACCAAGGATTTTCTTTTCCTCCTCCTCCCCCTCTCCTCCTAACTTTTTACATGTCTTGCATGGCATGAATCCAGACACTTCAGATCCTAGAGGCCATGGCCTCGCCCACCTGGTCTGCTCTAGGCCCAGGCGCTGTCCGCAACGGTGGTCGCATCGCATCGCACCGCAACTGCGCGCAGCCCGAGTCGGCCCTCCTTGAACCACATGCGCCGTGCCGAATGGCTTCAGTAGCCAAGCACACGTTTGTGCTAACACACCGTCTGAGGATTTTCGGATCGTTCGAGTAGGGCATCGACTACATACTTGATTTACCCCAGCATGTATTCGTTCGTCGAATCCATGGGGAGTGCGTAGAGCGTTCGTCGATCTACGAAGAATTCGGCGTACGACTCGACGAGAAAAACAACTTTGGGGTAAATCAAGTCTGTAGTCGAGCCATTACTCGAATAATGGGGACCACAGTCAACTCAGGATGCACCAATGCTTGCACCTCCTGTTCCACAAGTTCCCTCGCCACAGGTCCCTACAGGCCTTTCCCTCGCGCTGCTGTAGTCGCTCCCTTGAACAGACGCGCGCCCAATGTGCTTTCGATTCATCAGGACGGGAAGACACACACATACACAAATAATCGTCGGCTTCCAGGACAATCTGGGAACATATGGTGACGATGATGATGATGACGACCACGATGATGACGATGATGCTGATGACGATACTGCTGGTTACGATAATGACCAAGAGGAGGAGGAGGAGGAGGAGGAGGAGGAGGAGGAGGAGGAGGAGGAGGAGGAGGAGGAGGCGGAGGAGGGCGGAGGAGGGCGAGGAGGGCGGATGGGGGGAGGAGGAGGAAAAAAAAGGAGCAGGAGGAGGAGGAAGGAAGGAGGGAGGGAGGAGGAGAGGGAGGAGAAGAGGAGAAGGAGAGGAGGAGGATGAGGAGGAGGAAGGAGGAGGAGCAAGGAGTGAGGAATCGGAGGAGGAGGCGGAGGCGGAGGCGGAGGCGAGGGCGGAGAGGAGGAGGAGGAGGAAATGCTACGATGAATGATCTGATGATGATGAATGTGAGTGGATGATGATGATGACGACGACGAACGATTATGAATGAGATGATGATGATGAATGATTATGAGATGATGATATGAGGAGAAGGAGGAGGAGGAGGAGGAGGAGGAGGAGGAGGAGGAGAGGAGGAGGAGGAGGATGAGGGAGAGGAGAGGAAGAGGAGGAGGCGGAGGAGGAGAGGAGGAGAAGGAGGAGGGAATGAGGAGGAGGAGGTGGAGGAGGAGGAGGAGGGGAGCAGGAGGAGGGGAGGAGGAGGAGTGTTAATGTAGGAGGGCGGAGGAGGGGCGAGGAGGGCGGATGGGGGGGGAGGAGGAGGAGGAAGGGGAGGAAGGAGGGAGGAGGAAGGAGGAGGAGGAGGTCATCGCCCAGCTTCGCCTCAGGCAGTAACTGGTTTCACTCCGTGGGGGAAGGCTCTCCTTTTCCATCTCTTTATTTCCTCCCCTTTTCCTTACTTAAGTGTCCATCAGCTTTAAGTGATAGTACCCCTGCTTGCACTTACAGGTGCAGGCTGCGCCAAGAGCGCCTGGCAGTTCAGTCCACCTCCGCGGTTGCTGTTGCTGCCTGCTGTCATTCTTCACCCAGCGTTCTTCTCGCCCTTTCTCTCACCATCATTGGCTTCGACTCTCCGCCATTCGACCGAACCGAACCGAGGAGGAGGAGGAGGAGGAGGAGGAGGAGGAGGAGGAGGAGGAGGAGGAGGAGGAGGAGGGGGTGTGAAGGAAAGGGGAAGGTGAAGGAGAAGGAGGAGAAAAAGAGAAGAGAGGAGGAGGGGAAAAAATGGGGAGGAGGAGGAGGAGGGAAGAGTGAGAAAAGGAGGATGCGGGGAGGAAGGCGGGCGAGGAGGAGGCACTCTGCCACGCAATCGTCTAGCACGGCGAGGAAACGCCGAAAGGTAGATCTACGTTGCGAGTCGCTGCAGGAGGAGGACCCCGATGCAAGCAACTGTGGCACCTGGGATTGGTTTGTAATAGTGAATATGACGACGGTTATGATGACGGTCATGGCGGTGATGGTGATGATGGTCATGGTATGAATGATGATGATGGTAATGACGATGAGTATCATGATGATAGCGATGATGATGGTGGTATTGATGATAAGGATGATGCTGATGATGGCGATTATGATGAAGATGAGGCTGGCGATGATGATGATAATGGTGGCGGTGATAATGCTGAGTGTATATTGGCGCCTTATCTTACGGCCGGTGCTGCCGACCCCGCCGACGACGATGAAGACGAGGAGGGGGAGAAGGAGGAGGAGGAGCCCGGTGTTGCTACTGGGTCGGAGGACTGTTCCCGACAGTAACTTCTCATGGTCATCATGATCCTCCTCCGCCCCCGCCCCTTTCGGACCCAGTGGCAACGCAGTGGTGGCCATATCGCACGTTCACTTCGAGGTCATGATGATGATGATGGGGATGATGTTAATAAAGACCAGGACGAGAATGATGATAATGATGACGATGATGATAATGATGATGACGATGATGATGGTAATGCTGATGATGATGACGATGATGATGATGATGATGACGATGATGATGGTAATGGTGATGATGATGGCGATGATGATGATGATGATGATGATGATGAGGGTGACTATGGTGAAATGATGGCCATGGTAATGAAAATGATGATGCTGATGAAGTTGATGATGACGATGGTGATGGCGGTGATGATGATAATTGTAGCTTGATGGCCTAACTTACCGCCGGTGCCGGATGGGCATGATTTGATGAAAACGTGGGTGATAATGATGATGACGATGATGATAATGATGATGACGACGGTGATGGTAATGATGATGACGGTGATGATGATGAGGATGACGACTCTGGTGGTAATAGTGGCCATGGTAATGATGATGATGAACTTGATGATGATGGGGGTGGCGGTGATGATGACAAGTGTGATGTGGCTGCGTTGCCATTGCGTTCGCTCGTGTCGCTGCGCCCCCCTGTGCTGCTACTGGGTCGGAGGACTGTTCCCGACAGCAACTTCTTGGTCATCATGATCTTCCTCCTCCGCCCCCGCCTCTTTCGGACCCAGTAGCAACACAGTGGTGGCCATATCGCACTTTCAGTTCGAGGTCATAATGATGATGGGTATGCTTTTGATGAAGCCGAGGATGATGATGATGACGATGATGATGACGGTGATGATAGTAATGATGATGATGATGAGGAGGAGGATGACGACTATGGTGGTAATGATGGCCATGGTACTGATAATGATGATGATGATGATGAATTTGATGATGATGATGATGGTGATGGCGGTGACAATGATGAGTGTAACTTAATGGCCTAACCTGCGGCCAGTGGCCATATGGGGATGATTTTGATGAAGGCGTGGATGATAATGATGATGATGGCGATGATGACAATGATGATGACGATGATGATGGTAATTGTGATGATGACGATGACGATGAGGATGACGACTATGGTGGTAATGATGGCCATGGTAATGATGATGATGAATTGTGATGACGATGATGACGATGGTGACGGCGGTGATGATGATAAGTGTAATGTGGCTGCGTTGCCATTGCGTTCGCTCGTGTCGCTGCGCCCCCCTGTGTTGCTACTGGGTCGGAGGACTGTTCCCGACGGCAACTTCTCATGGTCATCATGATCCTCCTGCGCCCCCGCCTCTTTCGGACCCAGTAGCAACACAGTGGTGGCCATATCACACTTTCAATTCGAGGTCATAATGATGATGATGATGATGATGATGATGATGATGATGATGATGGGGATGCTTTTGGTGAAGACGACGATGATGATGATGACGATGATGATGATGACGGTGATGATGGTAATGATGATGATGACGATGATGCTGAGGATGGCGACTATGGTGGTAGTGATGGACATGGTAATGATGATGATGATGGTGAATTTGCTGACGGTGATGGTGGTGGCTGTGATGATGATAAGTGTAATGTGATGGCCTACTGGCCGATTGGGTGCTCACTCGACCCCCCGTCTTTCAAGCTACAGGTGCAACCGAGGCGGCGCAATCTACATGGTGCAGGGTATGTGGTGCAACGTACATGGTGCAGAGTATGTGGTGCAAGCGGCGCCGTGTATGAGTCGCAACCTACGTGTGGCAAGCTATGTGGCGCAACTTATGCCAATCAGTGACACGAAATTCAAGATAAGCGATCGCTTGCGTGCTTCTGTTCAAAGACGTGTGGCTCAAGCTCTTTGGCTGTACCGTTGGATTGCTGGCGGTTGCCCGACGAGGCTCGCGCCCGCTCGACCCGCGATGCCGTTGCTCATCGACGATGCCATGGGCGCCTTGAAGGACAAGGGCACGACCTACTCAGAGTTGGACGCGGCCGCCGTGTCCAGCAAGGCGGCGGGGGACATTGACGGGCCCATCGACGTCGGCACTTTTACCCGCGGTGCTCTGCGGAAGCTGGGCGAGGTGAGGGTGACCAGGTCTCTCTTCGACGTCGTGGACGAGTTTCCGATGCCAGAGAATCTGGGCCATGTCATGGAGCAGATCGCGGGGCAGACGTACACCGACGTGCCGCCTGCTCTTCGCCCAGGCGCTGAGCTCCCCGAAGGCACCAAATACTCCGTTGTCGTTGGTGGCAACGGCAACGGCGCCGCCGTCGCCGTCAAGATCTACGCGTTCCAGAACCAGGTGCCCTTGAAGACCGCACAGGAGCTCGTGATCGGGACTGGGCATGCTCCAATAACGAGAAAAGGCCCATGGCTCCACAAGAAAACCCTGCAGTGGTTGCTTGATCGCATCCCTGGCCACCGCGTCGATTGGGCAAGCGTGGAGGAGAAGCAACGGGCGAAACCGACAGACGGCGAAAAGAAGAGATGGGAGGCCACGGACGAGGAGCTCGAAGAGGGCATTGACTTCATCAGCAAGCACGCGCCCGCCGTGAACGACATGAACCAGCAGTGGCTCTTCATTGAGAAGAACATCAAGCCGAGCAGCGGGTCCAAGATTGCGGGGTGGCCGTGGGCTAAAGTTGCTAACGCAATGCACAACCGAGCGAAGGCAGCAACGGGGTGCGCCAAGGTTGAGCGCTCGTTCCCCCTGTGCGTGTTCGACTTGCACCCGCTGTGGCCAGAAGTGTTGCTTCCGTGCATCTTCCCGCTCCTATCGCAGTTTGGACTCCTCTTCTTTGGCTTGCCTGGCATCGGCAAGACGCCCACTTTCGTCGTGCTCGCCATGGCCATGGGCCGCTACACTGCGGCGCGCTCGGGCGGTAATCTACTCCCTGGATGGCGCCGCAGCAAGTCGATGGACGGCTTCAAGTCCAGCCAGGGGACAGCGTCCGAGGGCACTCTCCTCGACGACCCTGGCATGTGGCATCTCTCGATCGATGACCTGAAGTCCTTCTTGGACACCTTCGCCAGGGCCAGGTACAACGACGCCAAGTTCGTGAAGAACTCAGTGCGGTGCTTGGCGGAGAATGAGTTCGATGAGAAGGGCGAGCCGCCCGCGGATGACCGAACCATTATCACCGCGGCCGAGGCTGAGAAGCTGTTCATGAAGCCGTTCTCGGGGTGGAAGCAGGCGCGTGTCCTCGCGGTGCTCAGGCGCGCCGTCGCGTGCGTCGCTGGTCGCCACTCCATGTACCTTCGCTTCCCCAGCAGCGACCCCGACGCGGTGGTCCACCGCATCAGCTTCGACAACATCGAGAAGGACTGGTTGCGCGACAAGCAGTACTGGGGCAATGACAACAAGAAGTACTACAACCTCTACAAGCAGGGCATGGAGGTGTTCCACGACAACTTCGACGAGCAGTTGCAGAGGGAGCAGGACTTGATCGACCGCGCCGTGACCGCGCGCGGGGACAAGCTGGCCGACGCCTACGTCGCCGAGTGCAACGAGTCCTTGCAGGCCAAGCTGCTCTCCGTCATGGAGTTGTCCTCCAGGCTGAGCGCGGCGCCGCCGCGCCCCGAGGCCGAGGCCGGCGACGGGGCCTCCATGCTCAGCGCGGCGCCGCCTAGCCCCGAGGCCGAGGCCAGCGGCGGGGCGATCGCTCTCCACGTGCGCCCAGATGGAGACGGGAGTTACGCGTTCCCGACGGGGCCGCCGGTACCGCGCACCAGCACCAAGCGCAGCCGGTGCCGCATCGACGGCGTGGGGGCGAGGGAGGTGCGTCCGAAGGGCTCCCCGCCGTCGCTTGTCGAGGGCCAGCCCGACATCCTGGCCGCGGAGCTGGGGGCGATGCTCGAGGCCGAGGGCTTGGCCACGCAGCCTGGCGTCGAGGCAAGCCCGCAGGCGTTGTCGCCGAGCAGTCCTCCGCTCTTCCCACCCGTAGGCATGGGGGAGGAGGATTGAGCAGCCATTGCATGAGAGCTCGGAGCGCGCCGCGGCCTGGGCCCCGCCGCGCGCCCGCGCGCAATCTACCTTCGAGATGCCCCGCTACTGGCCCATGCCAAGCTGACGACCAGGCGAGCAATGAAGTCATGGGGGGGAGGGCGATTGTCGGCACGTGGCATTGGCTGGTAGCGAGGGCGGGCTCGGACATCTAGCGCATGACTTCGCGGCGGTGGTCGGGGCTGACCGCTCTCCGTCAGCGCGAGGGCTTTGTGGTCGCTCACGGGCCTGGCATCCTAGAGTTTTCTCGCAGGATGTACGTTCGGGGGCGAGGGTCGGGGTCGCCCGGGTAGAATGAGAAACAAAATGCACATAGGCTCCGCCGAGTCCGCCCACGCAGTGGTCACTGTGACCAGCAGCAGCACAGCGACACGAGCGAACGCAAGAGCAACGCAGTGAGGCGTGAGACCTCGAAGTAAAAATGCGATATGGCCACCGCTGTGTTGCTACTGGGTCCGAGAGAGGCGGGGGGGGAGGAGGGTCATGATGACCGTGAAAAGTTGCCGTCGGGAACGGCCCTCCGACCCAGTAGCAACACATGGGGGGGCGCAGCGACGCGAGCAAACGCAATTGCAACTCAGCGAGGCGTGATACCTCGAAGTAAAAGTGCGATATGACCACCACTGCGTTGCTACTGCGAGTCGCGAGATCACCAGGAGCGTTCGAGGCACAACCAAATCACACGTTTATGGTGTGGCCGCCCGCGCCTGCCCGAGGCATCTGGCGATTTCTTCGGCTCGAGCGCGCTGCGCTTGCCATCTCTGCAGGCGCCGCGGCCGCGCGGCGGCGGGGGCGCCCTTGGCCATGGCGCCGAGCAAGCGCCATCGCTGCAGCTGCTGGGCGAGTCGTGGGCACACCGTGAGCGACGTGCCCGGCCTGGCGCGCTGCATCCAAGAGTTGAAGGCGGAAAGATTAGCCGCTTAGGGAAGACCAGCGCCAAAGCCGAGGCGGGCCAGAATGAGGGTGAGCCAGCCGAAAGCCGTTCAAGAAGTTTGCGCGCCAGCGCCTCCTCAAGTTTGCACTCGGCTACGGCCCCAGCGAGAAGCGCGCCATCGCATTGCAGGCGTGTTCGCGCGGGGCCGAAGGCTCGGTTGCAGCCCGCGAGGAGCTGGTCCAAGCGGGCTTCCTCGCTCGGGCAACTCTTCGCTGCCCGACATGCGCGAGGGGATACCTTTCGGACGCCCCGTGCAGTCGGGCCAGGGGCGGTGCCACCAACAAGGACTTGCTCTACTTCCGCTGCAACGATTGGGGGTGCCACTGCTACCACAGCGTCATGAAGTTCTCGAAGATCCCGTACAAGCTGATCGGGCAATTGAGCTGCGTCCAGCTGAGGTCGCTCCTCGAATCCTATACGGACGCGGCGGGCCAGGGCAGCGCCAGCGCGCGGAAAGCTGCAAAGTCGGCATACTGCGGGTGCAAAGTCGCGTACCGCCTGTACAGGTATCTGCGCGGCTTGGAGGCGGACGCAGGGGACAAGGAGAACGAGTCGATGCAGCTCGGCGGGGAGATCGAGCCCATCCGCAACATCGAGGGCGACGGCACGCTGGCCAGGAAGATCAGGGTGAGCAGCAAGAGCACGACGTGGCGGACCGAGATCGCAGAGGCGAAGAAGAGGACGATCGCATACCTGAGGCTGAAGGCATGCAGGGCGAGATCGCCGTCTGCAAGCTCGAGAGCCAGACACTACATGGTCCACGTCCGCTACGTGGGGCTTTGTGAGCGAGGTGGCAGGGTGACCGTTGCCCCACTTCCTGTCCGCGTGGTGCCGCCTGGCACGGCGCAGCCGCCCGAGGCGCAGGACGAGGTTCTCAAGTCGGGCATCATGAACAGACTGGTGAGGAAGAAGAAGGTGTTCCTCTTCTCCGACGGCGCACTGGCCTGGCCCAAGATCGTCGAGCAGCAGAACAAGGCAGGCCGCAACATCGCGCTGTCGGCGGTGGTGCACCAGAAGCGGCAGTACACGAAGCTCATCGCCAAAAAGAAGAGGGGGCAGTCCCGCCTGGCTGGCACGCAGGCAATGGACTCACGGTGGAAGTACATGAAGTCGTACATTCCGCGGACCCTGAAGGCCGCCAAGGGTCGCGCCGTGAACCCTGAGCTGCGCACATACACCATGTCGTGGCAGTGGAGGCAGAACTTGGCATGCACGGGCGCCGCGCTGTAGGAGAGCGTGGCCAGCCTGGTGGGGGCGTCGTAGCTGTGCGCAGGCCAACTTTAGACCGAGCGCCGCCTAGAGCTTCGGAGCTAGTTGTGCTGCGCGGGCGGGCTCGCCGCTACACGGGGCGGTAGCGGGGGTGGCGCGCGCGCCCCGCGCAGCATCGCTGGGCATTGAATTTGGACCGTTCGTGGCATAGCAGCACGCGCAGCCATAGATTCTATCGTCATCGTAGTCGTCGCGTCACATTTCGGGATGACGATCAAGGAAGAATGAAGATGCGATGGCGTCCGAAAGGCCCCAAGCGCCTCGGTTCAAACCCCCGTGGGTCCCCAGTGTCCTTGTTCCCTTGTTGGCAACAAGGACACTGGGGACCCACGTGTTCCTTGATGCCAACGCGCTGAGGCAGATCAAGGTCACAAAAACGCTTGAAGTCTTTGCGGCCCCTCGAGGCTCACAAAGCTTCGAAGATCACCAGCGCGGTTCTTCTTAGATGCGCTCGGGGTCTTCGAATCTTTGTGATGCGCAGGGAATCACAAAGATTTGCGGAATATTTGTGGTTCGCAGGGGATCACAAAGATTTGCAGAATCTTTGTGATTCGCAGGGAATCACAAAGATTCAAAGATCTCCAGCGCTGCATTTCGTGGCAATCTTTGTGACAGCCGAGGGCTTGATCACAAAGATTGTGTGGAAAGGCTGCGCTCGGAATCTTTGAATCTTTGTGATTCGCAGGGAATCGCAAATATTTGCGGCATCTTTGTGATTCGCAGGGGATCACAAAGACTTGCAGAATCTTTGTGATTCGCAGGGAATCACAAAGATTCAAAGATTCTCAGCGCTGCATGTCGTGGCAATCTTTGTGACAGCCGGGGCTTGATCACAAAGATTGCGTGGAAAGGCTGCGCTCGGGATTCAAAGACCCAGCCGAGACCTCGCAGCTCCCCGGGGAACTGCGAGCTGCGCATCCGCCGCCACTTTCGTGAGCTCAGTGGCGTGGAGGAGTACGCAGATCCAGCCGATACCTCGCAGCTCTCTGGGGGGGGGGGCTACAAACAACTGCGCAACTATGGCCACTTTCGTGGGCTCCTGTGAGGCCCAGCGGAGAAGGGGAGCACGCAGATCCAGCCGAGATCTCGCGGCTCCCTGGGGGGCTGCGAGGCTGCGAGCTGCGCAACGATCGCCACTTTCGTTGGCTCCTGGGAGGCCAACCAGAGTGGGAGGAATGCGCAGGTCCAGGACCTCGCGGCTCCCTGGGGGAGAGCTGCGAACTGCGGAACTGTCGCCATTTTCGTGGGCGTCTGGCAGGCCCAGCGGCATGGGAAGCACGCAGATCCAGCCGAGACCTCGCGGCTTCCTGGGGGGCTTCGAGCTGCGCGACTGTCGCCACTTTCGCAGGCACATGGGAAGCCCAGCAGAGTGGGGGAGTAAGCAGATCCAGCCGAGACCTCGCGGCCCACTGGGGGTCTGCGAACTGCGCATCTGTAGCCACTTTCGTTGGCTCCTGGGAGGCCCGGCAGAGTGGGGGCGTTATTTTGCCTGGAAGCGAAAGGCCAACCTCCAAATCCTGCCACTGCTGACCTTTCTCGCAAGCATCCATCCCAGAACGATAGCTGATGACAACGGGCTGCATCTTCGTCTCGACCATCTCGCTGAGCAGCGACAGGGCATGCTGCTACTGCTGACCTCTCTGCAAGCACGGATCCAAGCATTGTAGATGATGGTATGGACATCAATTTTCGTCTCGACTATCCAGCTGAGCAGCGACATGGCCCGCTGCCACTGCTGACCTTTCTCACATGCGCTGGTCCAAGCGTTGTAACTGATGGCAGTGGGCTCCAGCTTCGTCTCGACCATGACGCTAAGCAGCGACAGGGCCCGCTGCCACTGCTGACCTTTCTCGCAAGCGCTCATCCAAGCACTGGACTCCAGCTTTGTCTCGACCGTCTCGTCGAGCAGCGACAGGGCCTGCTTCAGAGTCCGACCTTTCTCGCATGCGCTGATCCCAGCGTTGTAGATGATGGTATCGGGCTCCAGCTTCGTCTCGACCAGGACGCTGAGCAGCAACAGGGCCCGCTGCTACTGCTGACCTTTCTTGCAAACGCTCATCCCAGCATTGTAGACGATGGTATCCGGCACAGGTTTCGTTTCGACCATGCGGCTGAGCAGCCACATGGCCCGCTGCCACGCTGCCACTGCTGACCTTTCTCGCCAGCGTTCCTCCCAGCGTTGTAGCTGATGGCAGTGGGCTCAGCCTCGTCTCGACCATGTCGCTGAGCAGCGACAGGGCCTGCTGCCACTGCTGACCTTTCTCGCATGCGCAGATGCCAGCACTGTAGATGATGGTATCGGGCGCCAGCTTCGTCTCGACCATGCTTGGCTGTCACAGCGGCAGGACTTGCCGCGGGCCGCTTGATTGATGGCTCTGATAACGCTAGTAGTTGGCCACTGGAAGCACCCACGGTACGCGGCGCGCCATCATAGTCCACACGCGCGCGGTCCACTCACGGTGGCTTTCAATGTCTGGCAACGGCGGAGAAATAAGCCGCAATAAAGGCCAAACGGACACGATATGGTTAAGAGGAGCAATACCAAGGACAAAACTTAGCACAATTGGCCAGCACGTCGCAATACCTACGCCCCTGGCTCCAAACTGCGACGATACACGCAAAGCCACAAGTTGCAAATCTAGGATCAATGCGCTCGCCTCGTCAAATTCTCCACGGCGCCTCTGCTCTGCTAAGTGCCGCAATTGTGTCGCAAGCTGGGTTGCAGTGTGATCCCACTGCTGCAGAGTGAATGTAGTCTCGTGGTACAATAACGGACGCCACCTCTGCAATTCCGCGAGAAACAATTCGTGATGACCATTACGCAGCAGCGCCCTGCGCAGCGGCAATCCTGGCCCAGGATCTGCGGTAGATCGCGGTGCTGCTGGAGGCAAACTAGGCAGTGAGATGCCGTCAGAATTTTCTGATGCGGTATTCCCCCAGTCGCGAGCGGACGCGAGGCAACGTTGGCATCGCCATGCGTAGTTCAAGGATGACACCCCTGTGGCAAAATCTACAGAAGGCTCCATGGTTTCACGCGGGAGTCTTGTTTGGCTTCTCCATTCCTCAATGTCCACGTGCCGAACTTCGCCTTGGGATTGAACGCACACTTTCACAGTTCTGGAGTTCCCGCTGTAAGGAACAAGCATCGCATCCAAGGAGCAGCCATTAGGATGTTCAAAGGTGGCCAAGCTAGACTTGAAAACGCCATCGGTTGCGCATGACAACATGTCATCCAACCTTGCGCGATCCTCTGGAATAAGAACACTCCGAAGCTGTTGACCTATCACACGTTCGCCCCCCCCCCACCATCTGGTGAAAACGAGGGCACGCTGAAACTATAATCCCGAGTGGGAGCTCCACCGTAGCAGTTCCATAACTGTGTTCAATAAGCCGCTCCAGATCTGCTTGCAATGAATACACATAGAAGGCACCCCCCGATATGCTCACGAACACTCCAATCGAAATAATGCATGACACCATGCAACTACAGGCAATCGCGAGGTGACTCCACCCCATGGACACGGCGACCAAATGGACAACGATACCACCTGAAAGGCAAAACTCCAAATCAACGCCTGCCAGAACCCACATGATCGGCAAAATCTGCATCAATCCCAAGCAGTTAACTGCTGGTTGTGTGTCGCGAGCAGACTCCGACCAAACCAAAGACACTGTTACCCCTGTCGCCACAATTACGGCATCTATCCACCTCGATTGCGGGGGGACCAACAATTTCGTCGCTATACAGATTAGGGCGTAAACACTGTCACACATTGAAGCTTGAAAACTATATGAATAATCCCATATTGCAAAGCAATAGCAACAACCTGAAACGATATTGCAGAGCCATGGGCGCCGGCTTAAAGGTGAAGACTGAAACGCAGGTTCTTTCGTCTTCGTCACAAGCGCTAGCAAGCCCCACACAAGATTGGCACCAGGAGTGCCATAACGGCTGGGGGGAGGCGACGCGGCGTCTTCGAGCAACGGCCGCCGCATCACGACTCGTAAACGAGACGGCGACGCCTGAAGTTGGGCTGGAGCTTGACCTGAGCCTTGAGCCGAAATGGCTATTCACATCCAGTCGAGAACTCGCAGGTTTCTTGGGTAGCTGCGAAGTGCGGGTCCTTCAGCATGTTCAGGTTTCGAGCGGTCCTTAGTATAGCTTCCCGACGTTTAGAAAGAATTCGGTACGTCGCAACATAAACGTTTCAAGTCTGGCATGCTCCTTGAATTCGGCCTTTCAGGCCGGGTATCAAACCCCGGGGCCATCAAAAACATATCCGGAGCGAAGAACTACCCCCGGGGGCGGGGCCTCTGGGGCCGCGGCTTGAAACATGATATAGGCAGATGTCAGGGGAGGAGGGAGAAGAGAGAAGGGAGAGGAGGAGGGGGAGGAGGAGGGAGAAGGGAGAAAAGGAGGGGGAGGAGGATTATCCCAGTGCGACCCTACCTAGGAGTTGGAGCCCCCAGGAAAGCAGCATTAGCAGTAACAGTGAAGCTAAACTAAAGCTAAGCTAAAGCTAAGCTAAAGCTAAGCTGAAGCGAAGCTAAAGCGAAGCTAAAGCTAAGCTAAGGCGAAGCTAACACTAAGCTAAAGGTAAAGCTAAGCTGAAGCTAAGCTAAAGCTAAGCTAACGCTAAGCTAAAGCTAAGCTAAAGCCAAGCTAAAGCTAAGCTAAAGCTAAAGCTAAATATAAGCTAAAGCTAAGCTGAAACTAGGCATAAGCTAAGCTAAAGCCAAGCTAAAGCTAAGCTAAGCTAAGCTAAGGCTAAGCTAAAGCTAAGCTGAAGCTAAGCTAAAGCTAAGCTGAAGCTAAGCTAAAGCTAAAGCTAAGCTAAAGCTAACCTAAAGCTAAGATACAGCTAAGCTACAGCTAAGCTAAATCTAAGCTCAATCTAAGCTAAAGCTAAGCTGAAGCTAAGCTAAAGCTAAGCTAACGCTAAGCTGAAGCTAAGCTAAAG